CAAACAATAATACAGCATCAAAATATGTTGTTTCTGACTTATGGTGACCTTCAGGCAAACCTATCACAAAGTTTTCTTTGAAAGATTTCTTCCGAGTGGGTTTTCCTTGCCTTTGTCTGACAGAGTGTGACTTGCCCAAGAACAATTAATGGGTTTCCATGGCTGATTTGAACTCCAGTCTCTAACACTCAAAACACAGCACCACACTGGCTCACTCACTACAATATATGCTTAACTTTCTCTGGTTACCTTCCACCTAAAATGCTGTTGTCATTACAGGACAGAGACAGGATGCTTATGAAACTGGATAGCTGAGTGCTTTCTCAATAGTAGAGGTTAGGAAACACAGAGAGACACTTTGTTCTTTTAGTGGAAGGGTTTAAAATGCTTTTCTACTTTGCTATTTGTAAAATTCTCTTGACTTTGATCTAATTAACAAAACAAATTGAGCAGAAAATCTTCCTCCTCTATCTCCAACTCAGAGAATGCAAAATATTTAGTGACATGGCATTCTTCAAAACAAAGGAAGTTATGCACTCCTATAAAAAGCCAGCTTGGCATTGCCTATTAGTCTTCTACATCGGTATAGAATAACTATCTTTTTCTGTTTGTTTCATTCATAAGGCCCTGTTTTAGTTTTTGAGCGTCTCTTCCAAAAATGGGTGCTTTTATGAATGAGTTTTTTTCATTTCAAGTCCAAAAAAACCTGAATATTTTCATCCCATTTGCTTCTCATGCTCCCCTTCCCTTCAGCTTTAGGCACTGACACTTGGTTGCAGGCCCTGGCAGGCACAGGTGCTTTGGGCCTGCAAGCCACACACACACACTTCTGGGAAGGAGAATGTGTGCGTAGCTTGCGGCCCAAAGCACCTGCTCCTGCCAGGGCCTGCAGCCAAGCACTGAAAATCAGGTGACCAAACCATTTCTCTTCCCACTTTTCTTTCATTTCACTAATATTTCTGTACCAGAGGGGGGTGTTCCATTTTGTGCCATCCAAATTAAACAAACGGTACAAAAACACAAAATAAACGGCTGAAATTGTTACTGGATGCATGACTATTGCCTATGCTCTGGGATGAAGACTACAAGTACTATCTCAAGGGAGTGCAGCCATATTCCATGTTAGTTATCAAATACTCCACAGGAGAATGAATTGAAAAGGCTGAGAATTGTATTAGTCACAATGCTCGATGGTTAAAGATCTCCTAATCACAACATTATTTCAATAAGGTTATTTTAAAAGAAATCGCCCCCTATAAGCTAAAAAAGGACAGTCATTAAGACTGATTCTAATAAAACAGAAGCCCTGATGTAGAACTCATCAATGTCGGAGTCTCGAAACTAAAAAGACAAGAACCATTACAACAGTCACAGTGGTAACCAGAATTAAAGCAAGCGTTAAAGACTTCTACCAAAGATTGTATCTTTTTAAAACCTTTGGTCTGATAGCTCTCAAATCATTCTATGCTCACTACACACAAGGTACCATAATGCAGTTGTTCTGGGACTCCAGAAGGGAAACAAACAACCTATGGTGTTTCTTGTAAGCCAGAGATCCAACAGCTGTACAAGGAAGAACATCACAACAAGAGGAAGGTAAATTTAGCCTCATCTACTGGGCAGAACTTCCTCCCCACCCCAGCCTCCAGAAAGAGTATTTATCAGTTACCCTGGGACTGCAAAAACGGGAGGAAGCACATCCTGGCACCCTGACAACAATTTGGACAAGGATTACTAGGTCACTGCAATCTCAGAACTTGAAAACATTTTTATTACACTGCAATCCTCTTTGGCCCATCTGGTTTGGGGATTCTGGGAATCGTAGTTCACTAATCACTAAACGCTCTATTCTGTTCTGAACAAAATCACCAGAAAAGACTGGCACAGTCCCAGCTGCATAAAGGAGACTCTCAGTTAACTGGCACTTGTGGGGATTGGTAGATGCTGGATAAATGCAGTTTCTGGTTGTTTGGGAGTTACTACTAAAAATAAGCCTAACTTATACTATACCTCATAATATACCATTCCATTAATTATGCACTGATTTTATATTAATATTGAAATATATTAAAAGAAAATAAAGATAAATAAATAAAGATAAAGCCAAACAATGTAACATAGTTTCAATGTATTATAGATATATTTTATTTTTTAATTTAAAGTGTTATTTCTTTAAGGGGGGTTGCCAGTTGTCTGAGTTCCAGGCCCCTTCTACACAGCTGAATAAAATCCCACATTTTCTGCTTTGAACTGGAATATATGGCAGTGTGGACTCAGATAACCCAGTGCAAAGCAGATATTGTGGGATTATCTGCCTTGATATTCTGGGTTATATGGCTTTATGGAACGGCCCCCAGTTATCTGAGGGTCTACTATACAAATGTCAAACATTCTCCTTCTCTTGTTTGTCTTGGACTGATAGGGATTTTTAGTTTTTAATACTGAGGGCAATTTTCTCTCAATCTCCTTTTTTAAAAAAAACAAAAAACACTAATGTAAACCATTTTGGAAGAGGAAAATATAGGACTTACAATCATTCTAAAAACAAACATTGCCCTAAACCAGCATGATACACATGGAAATACTGATATTTTTGCCCCATGCCCTGCAGCTCTCTATGCACTGAAAATCTGTGTCAGGCAGTTTTCCAGCCCTCTGGAAAAGTTTTTGAAATGAATGTGAAGCTGGAGGAGAAAGGGGAAACTGCAACTACCCACGTGAAGAAGCTGCCTCCTTGTATGTAAAGATCATGCTGGATTATTGGCCAGGGATTTCAGACAAATGATTAGATAATATCTAATATTTATTTAATTATTTATTTGCTTCATTTGTACCACATTTTTTCCACTCCTGTAGGGGGGCTCAAGGCAGCTTACAACTGTGGCCACTTCAATAACCACTTAAGCATAGTTATAAAACATACCCCATAAACTAAGAACAGTTAAAACATAGAATAAAAACTGGTTAAAAACATATAAAACAGACAACAGATTATCATGTAGCATTTTATAAAAGAAATATCATGCCAGAATCATAGCATGTATGGTTAATGGATAATGCAATCCTAGTCATACATCATTCTTGGCAAAATTCAAAGAAATTTACATTGTGATGTAAGCCTCTATATTCTGGAGGACAGTCTATAGTAGTCTCTCATGATAGATGATTTTAATATCAGCATTGGACTGACCTCTAGTGGACAAATGTTTAAAAGTTGCCCAAAAGGCTGAGAAGGGCGGTATACAAATACAGTAAATAAATAAATAAAGACATTTCAGCAGAACACAGAAATTTAAATATTATTTTTCATTTAAATATCAGGGCTGATAAGAATACATTTTCTCTAATGTCAGAGACATTTTCAAGATCTGCGTTTATCCTAAGTCCCAAGGACAGAGATAACTGTTGTGACATATACCACACTTTTCACAAAATTTTAGATGTCGTCCTTTCAATGTTTTGGACTTCTACTCCCAGAAGCCATAGTCAGCTTGGTCAACAAGTGAGGAATTCTGGGATGCAAAGTCCAAAATATCTGGAGGATTAATGTTTTGCAACCTTCCCTTAAGAACTAAGGATGATAAGCATGGCTTGAAATTATCTCAATCTCTAATCAATAAACAATATTAGTTATTTGGCAAACTACAATTAGCTGAAAATCTGGTGGGGAGGGGGAGAACATGAGTCTTAAGAAAAGGGAGCAATGACCATGTAAACTAAAGGGAATGATCTCAAGTGCCGTGACCTGGCTCTGTAGCATTTGTCATAATTCCAAGTATATGCAGACAACCTGATCACTTACACTAAACAGGAAAGTCTATGACATGAACTGAGGCAGTACTGGAAACCTACATAAAGAACAACATGAGTCTCAGAAAAAACAGCCCCCAAGTTGAATGCCACAGGCACTCTGTCATTTCAACCACTCCCTCTAGTACTTGAGCAAGAAATGGGTGCATGAATGCTAGACTCTACACTGTCATATAATCCAGTTTATCAAAGCAGATAATCCACATTATCTGCTTTGAACTGGATTATAAGAATCTATACTGCCATATAAAGTTCAAAGCAGATAATCTGGATTTTATATGTCAGTGTAGATAGGGCAAGGTGTTTAAGGCTGCATCTACACTACCGAATTAATACAGTCTGACATGACTTTAGATCAGTGCTATGGAATTATGGGAGCTGCACTTTTACAAGATCTTTAGCCTTCCCTGCCAAAGTGCTACACTAAACTAAAAATTCCATTGCATTGAGACATGACAATTAAAATGGTGTCAAGTTGCATTAATTTTACAATATAAAGGTCAAGCAAGTGTTCTACAAACAAGTAAATGCAACACCTTCCGTGATAAATTATCATTCTGAGAAAGCAGGGGAGAAACTGATTACTGATTTATGATACAAAAATGAAACTTCATATTTCTATCCTCAGGAAGGGAGCAAAGCCCAGAAAGTACAGTCAATATGAGTAGCTGACAGCAGAAACCTACCAGAATAAATTGCTTACTCTTCAACCTAAATCCACCAATTGTTCATCTTAACTGCAACAGGCCAGTTGAATTCTATATATGAATTCTATATATGAAAGTACTATATGAATTCTATATGTATACATATACAAACATGTTAAGAATTTGCATGTTAGTCAAAGACAAAGTTGGAATTCCCCACTTAAATTTCTATGAAGATTTACTTGTAACCACCAGGTGGAGCTATATAACTCATTTCAGAATAGAACAATCTGAATTAAACTAACATCTGGCCTTACAAAAATGTTCTGCTTTGGCAAAGAAAATCCATTACCTATGTCTTTGATGATACAATAGACTCATGTGTAGAATTACTTAATTAACATAGCTCTGTAATTTACATACTATATTCTTCTATGTTCCCCATCTTCCCCTTCTTTTTTTTACCTTTTTAAACGGTTACTTGAAGGGTTTTTTCTCTTTTTTGAAAACAAAATAAAACTTATTTGCCAAAAAATCCATTACCTTGGAAGGACAGGAACAGTTTGGCTATTGAAGCACTGAATGTAGTAACCTGGCTTCCAATTCTTGTTCTTCCACAAAGGCTGTACTTATTGTTTGGCAATCTGGAAAACATAAGATATCTGGGGTAAACTGGACTATAATAACATTGAGCAAAAACTATAAAATGGTCTTTGGGTAGGAGAGGTTATGTTTTCCTAAGTAAAAATACAAAATATTATTATTTCTTAGTGCACAAGAGTTGACCAACACTTTTATAAGGCACAGTCCACATAAAGGCTTTGTTTTCTTTTCAACAGTTTAGTCAGTGTCTGGACACTAAAAGCTACCATTGCCTTCTGATACATGAATGTTGTAGAGCTGCAGAGTAGGCTGATATTTTGGAACCATAAGGATCATACTGATACTGAGAAGGAAGGGTTAAAACCATGTTTGGTGCTAGAAAATAAACACATCATTAGAATTCAGTGACTTTGAAATTATTACGTTTTTGTATGAATCATTTTACAAGATCCTGGGCCATTTATTTTTCACTGACAACAGATTTATGTCTTATAGATCTTCTCCCATAGTGCGATTTGAACACTTGGAATGTGAGGTTTTATTTGAACAACTGATTAGAGATCATACCTTTTCATATATACATATCTCTTAACTGTTGTCTTGTTTTTCATTGTTTCTGTGAGCTAGGTTTTATCCCTTTCATTTACTGCTGGCTAGTGTTGCACTATTGAATGCTTTCTGTGAGCTACCCCGAGTCCCTTCAGGAAGGTGGTGACGTGATACAAAAATGATGGTGATGATGATGATTACTGACCAGTGAAAGAAGTCGAGCTCTACTTTGTTCCACTTTGCCTCCAACTGTGGGGAAAAATGAGGTGAATGCTGCTGTAATCTTCACTTACTTGCCAGAGACAGCTGTGGATCCTTGGCTCCACCCACCCAACTGGGAAGGCAAGCCAAATATGGAAGTTCCCTTTGCATAAACTTTACTATTTGCTAGGACAGCAAAGAGTGTATGAAAAGGACTCTCTGTGTCTCCCTTTGTATAGAAGTAGTGGAAATGGGAGTCAGCATAGACGTGAAAGTGGAAGGCACAACTCTATGGCTAACTGAAGCATTATTCTAGAAAACCTAGAGATTCCCAGAAAGAACATATTAATTAAAGCTTTGAATAGTCAAATCCATAAAAGTGAAATCTGCAAACATGGAGGACCAAGTGTATACTATAGTCTGTGCTGGCCCCACAAAGACAGAATTAACCTAGAAAAGTTCAGAAACACCTGGATTTGCAGAGAGCTGGCTCCTTAATCTTCCTCATTTTGGTGTCTTATTTAATCTGGTTATTTGCTTTAGTGCTTTCCATTTATGAGTTAATTGCTTACCAATCAGAACCTCTGCAATTCTATTTGCTATTCCCAAACACAGCTATTGTGTATATTTTAAATATTTGCTATCACTCAGTACAGTCATTGTATATATTCTAATTCTTTTGTGTTTTGAGAATTAGTCTGTATGATTTTTTAGGCTCAATATATATTGAAACACTACTGCAACAGCATAGAGCTTTATTAGAGTGGGTCAAAAATCAGAATGGGGTTTCTATATTTAATAACTTTTATTTTTAAAATTTACAAAACTATGGCATCATATACAGTGCGCGCGCACACACACACACACACATGAAATAAAATTACATTACAATTATGTGTAAATTATTTGCAAAAAAAACCTTCCAAAAGTTATTAAAATATCAGATATCTTTGTGATTTTTAGCTCACCCTGTAGATATATTTGCAAAGCATTTTTGATTAAAGGTGGTTCTCACATAACAGTTGGCTCTCCACTTTCATGGCGCTTAGGGGCACAAGAACCCTGTGAAAATGGGAAAACCACAAATATCTTTCAGCCTCCCAAGCCTTCTTTAAATCACATGACAGGTAATTGGGACCAGCTATGTATGCATTCTCTTGTGCACTCAGTGACTGGGCAGGAAAGTTAAGTGAGGAAATCCACATATACAGCCTTCCACCTTGCCAAGCCAGCTCCTTTCCCCTGCCTGCCTGAGAAAGGGAGTTTACAAGGGAATACATGTTTGTTTATGATATCCCTTCTCTCACTCCATAGTCCCCTCCTCTTCACCTGACTGAGACTGAGGTAGGGCATGAATTATTATTATTATATTTATTTATACCCTGCTTTATCTCCCCTGAAGGGGACTCATCCCCTTCTCCCCCACTTGCTTGCTTACTCATGTGCCTGCCTACCCAAGAGTGCAAGTAACATGTATGTAGCCATGTTCAGCCACCTTGACAGTTTTATATTCTCCTTACATTCAAAGATTTGAACTCTGACTAAGCCTGACTTAACTGAGCACAGCTCGAAATAGACATGCACGTTGTCAAAGTCCCTACTGAAAATTGTGCAGTGCAGCAGCAGAAAGAGCAACAAATATTGCACAAATAATTAAATTGGTGAAGGATAATCATGCAAATGTGCAGGGATGATTCTGTGTGAACTGTCAATCCATCGAAGAGCCACCATGGTGTAGGGGTTTGAGTATTGGACTACAACTCTAGAGAACAATGTTTGAATCACCAATTAGCCATAGAAACCCACTTGGACAAGTTACACTCTTAATCGGAGAAGGAAGTCAAAGGCAAGCTCAGTATGAACAAATTGTGACATGAAAATCCCATGATAGCTTCACCCTAGGGTTGCCGTAAGTCAAAAATGGCTTGAAGGTCATTTCTGAATAATAACAACAACAGAAAAAAAATCTTATGAGTTAGTGCTTGTTTATAATACCAGATATATTTAGAATGGACCACAATACAAACTAAAAATATAACAGCCTTTGTAACCACTATAGTTTTACTTAAGAAACACTTTCTTTAAGGAAAAGGGTGACTCAAAATTGATACTCCAATTTTGGCTACAGAGAAATTGTCTGTTGAAAAACAGTTGCAGGATCTCCTCATGTGGAAGGTATCAAACATGTGACTGCAAAACCAAGAGCTTTCCTCTGACTTTCTCTTTCATATGATAAATAATGATCATGTCCTCAAACGAATAGTCTAAACGAAGTTTCAAGTCGTTTAAGCTTTAACTTTTAAAGCTTTAGATCAGGGGTCCTCAAACATTTTAAACAGAGGGCCAGGTCACAGTCCCTCAAACTGTTGGAGGGCCAGATTATAATTTGAAAAAAAAAAAGAATGAATTTTAAGTGTTTTTTGTAGTGCTAAAACACTTAAAAACAATACAATAATTAAAATGAAGAACAATTTTAACAAATATAAACTTATTAGTATTTCAATGGGAAGTATGGGCCTGCCTTTGGCTGATGAGACAGGATCCTTGTTGTTGTGTGCTTTCAAGCTGTTTCAGACTTAGGTTAACCCTGAGCGAGGGCCGGGTAAATGACCTTGGAGAGCCGTATCCGGTCCCCGGGCTGCAGTTTGAGGACCCCTGCTTTAGATGTTTCAGCATTTTATGTAAAAATATTTACATCCTGTTCAAACATGTCCTAGTAGGAATCAAGACAGTTCAACAATATGATTCTACATATTGTTGAATACATTGAAGAAAATTCCACCGAGGCTTAGTCTCAAGCAAGTGGGCACAGAATTATGCCCTCAGCTTCCTACTTAAAAAGTCACCTCCTTCTATGTCTCAAGCATGAGCCACATGGTGCAATGGTTTTAGTGCCGGACAATGACTCTTGACACCAAGGTTCAATTCTCCACTCAGCCACAGAAACTCACTGCATGACCTTGAGAAAGTCACATACTTTCAGTCCAGAAAACCTGTAACAGGGTGACTTTGGGGTCACTGTAAGTCAGAAACCACTAAAAGAAACACAACAACAAGTGTCAAATTGGTTTAATTTATTTTTCATTTATATCCTGGGGGATTTTCTTTATGAGTATTACTTCCCAACTTGTCCCTTCCATGAATTTAAATGAATAGAAAAATATGAATGAAAAGAAATTGACAATGAAATTGTCTCTTAATAGTATCATTGTTTTTCTTTTAAACTATCAATAGAGAAAAGGAAACAAACATCAGGATCTCACACTGTGCTGGCAAAGTACAAGTCTCAATCCGCATACTTCCGGTAGGTGGAAGAGGCTGTTCTCTCTGCTGGCTGCTCTGTCCCCCTTTCCTCCCTACACAATGAGAGTTAGCACATCTCTGTCTTCCTGGCCACTGATTAGCTACAGTGGTGTGCTCAGTCTTGTTTCAGCTTCTCTTGAGTATGGAGGAAAGAAATAGCAAACTTTGCCCTGAAAATATGGCTGCTCCTTTTTCCGTCAGTGTTTAAGAAATCACAGGACAAGCTCGGATACACCCACACAGCTGTACATGACAGCTTTCCAGCTGCTGTGGTGCACCAGGGCTGGGGCCTTGTGAAGGGTACCAGATACGTTCTTCTGTAAAGTCCAAAGAGTACATATACTTCAATTACACCTGTATATTAGTACAGGAAAAGCAAAACAAAGAGGCAGTCAAAGAAACGAGATATCAGAAACACTGGACTAATGTATGGAAATATGATATGTCTTCTGTACGATACCGACAGATGTCTGAGGGTGAACTTGCAGCACAGCACATAATCTGAGACATACTAACCTGATCTAGGCAGAAGTCTGACTAATATGGAAGCTTTCACATCCCTATTTTTAACTTAGGACTTTATCAAATGGAGGTGATGAACCAGCACAGAGGCACATCATTGTCAGTCCACCACCTCCTTCTGATGAAGCTGTCAAGGGCTATTAATGGGGAAAGCGTGTCAATAGCCACTAGTCTTACCATGGTGCTGGTACTTACCTCATGTAATGACATCCCTCAGTGTTTGTGGTGACACCAGTGGGTGCATGATGCTACCCATCATTAAGTTGGTAAACTGCTGCTATCCCACATTGCAGAAATGTTGTGGAATAACAGCAAGCATGTTGTAATGACCTAAATAGAAAAGGACTAATTTCAGAATTCCCCAACCATAAAATCCGCACAATTCTGAGAGTTGTGGCCCTCAAAAAGTTAACTCTGCCAAGTTCTGGTAGACATTTTTTTTCAAACAGGTACTAAGATTTCAGTAATCAAAACTTGCAGCAAGATCTCTGTCAGATAACTGGTGGTAGTGTGAGAAGCAGAGGATTGTTCTTGCACTGAACTGTTCAGTGTTCTTATGCATACTTGACATGAGCACAGCTGGATGAGGCAGAGGAAGAGATGTGTAAAAAAGGCTGCCCATTCATATACATGAAATGATCATCTGACAAAAAAATATAAACAGGATTTCATTGTGATCACAAGGTCAAACATGGTATCAAACAGTTCTCAATAGATTACGTAGCTCAGTGTCCTAGCTTTACTAATGTCACACCAACTTCCTGGCACAGCTCAGCCGCCAGAAGGAAATATAACAGCCTGTGGTACAACCATGTGACCCACCATCCCTTCTGCAAACTATTAATGGGAATATAACATATTTCTAGATTAAAACATCCTGTTCAATTCAGTCAAATATAATGCAGAGCAATATCATGATTTGATTCTCAACATAGAATGCAAATTCAATATACACAATGGAATATGGTTGTGGAACGAAGGAATCAAGCAACATCTTTGAGATTGATTTATTTTATCAAGAGATTGCATGTAGATCAGCCAATGTTAGGGGTTTAAATTAATAAACACTGCCTTTTACTGCAGTTGTAGATTAAAACTAACAAAGAGCACAGAAGTGTAAACATGTATTTGATAGATTTCTTTACCGTGACTGGCTCCAAATTCCTCCCACTTAAAATTCTTGCTAGACTCAGTGTGATCTCTTAAATGTGAACTGTGCCTCTGTTGTTGTATGGGATATTTAGTTTTGCTAGGCATAATGGAGAGCCAGAGACAGATTTAAAACAACAAGAAAGTGTTTATTAAGTAAAACAGAAATCCATAACAACCTCTAATAATCGGTTCTTTAAGCTCCCTAAAACTATAGTTCTCCCCTTCTTCCTAAAATTTAAAATCTTGTCTCTATCAGGTGAAAACCCTTTCTGTGTCCAACTTTGTCAGTGTCAATTCCAACGGTGGCATGCTCCTGACTTTTGATACGTTTTGTTTCCCCATAACCCCCTTTCACAGCTTTCCCAAGATGTGATTGACTGCCTTCAAGTCTGCATAGCCTCCCCTTTACAATATTCCATGGGGTTAGAAACTTTGGAGGGGGAGGGGACATATTTTTAAACTGTTTTAGGTTCAATATAGACTTGATGCATTGCCCAAGATGAAATGCTAAAATAATATTTGTCCTTTCATTCATGAAGGGATATATTCCAAGACCAACCAGTGGATGCTTAAAACTCAAACTGGAGGCCCACAAACACTTGGGGGGAGGGGGTTGAAGTGTGGGTAAATGAAACCATTGATATCAAATCTATGGATAAGGAAGTTGTACTGTATCTTACAATTAATAATTTCACAATATTGAATATGAACATCAATATATAAAAACAGTAGAACCAGATTTGTAAGACTCCTTGCAAATGCATTATTTTCAACTACTACGGAATGCAACACATCACTTACCAAAAGCTCTTCTTCATGAAAGCACAAACCATGGTCTAAGAAGCCAAAGCAATCCTGACAATAACATCTATGGAGCCAGTTGTTCTCTCTCTTTCTCTCTTTTAATCTTTCTCCTTCCAGGAAGGAGTGATTAAATAAAAAACAAAGTCCTTTAATTTTCTCCCTAGAGGCTAATAGCCTCTCTTGCAATATGTTGGAGGCTATATTTTGCTATATTATCACTTCCAACATAGATCAGAAGGAGAGGGTAATGAATGCTCAGTGGGCATCTCTATTATATCACAGTTCTTCACCTGGGAGACAGAACACTCCTTGCAACATCTTATCATGCATATGTTCGTTGCAACACCTAACCTAAAGCTGTTTTCCATCCATAGAAGCCTCTAAAACTGTATCTATGCCTTCAAAATGTAAGGATCTTGTCCTTATTTCTGTACCTCATAATCTTATGAGCTCCATTTTTGTGCCAAATGTAAAGAAGATGTATGCTTTTTTAGATCCTGGGAGGAAATAGTGAGACAAACTTGTCTACCCTTGCCTTTTCTATCAGTCTTGCTGTTCATACATGCTCTGTATTATGGAGGTAATCAAGCTTTACTTTATCCAAGCATGTCTAGGCAGGCACATAAAGCTACAGTTGGATCAGCTATGTCCTCACTAGCTTGTCCAATAGCCAGGAATTCTGGGAGCTGAAGTCCAAAACACCTAGACCGGCACAAGTTTGACACCACTGAGCTATAGGTAGAGTTCTACTTTTTACCAGTTCAAAGTGCTGCAACTTTACACTAAAGATTTGTGTTTAGCCAGCTGTCCTACATCTGTCTCCCAATGATAATGATGCAGAAAAAAACTTCCAACTATACTGAGAATGAACAAAAGTAGAAGCTGGGCATGTATATAACATCTTTAATAAAAGGAGGTTCACTGTCAGAGGTTTTGTTAACACAAGTATTCCTGTACAACAAGTCAGCTAGTCTCCTTTCTTACCAACAAATTTCCCATTATCATTTAACAGTATTGCCACAGTTTTATGAAAAATATTGCCTGATATTTTCTTTAAACTATATACACCCAATGTTGGTGCAGGAAGCAGATAGTGGATAAATCATTCTTTTTCTGGAACTCGAGTAAAGTACAACTGATTCCTTGTACCCACAGATCCTTATCCACAGATTCAATCATCCATGGCTTAAAATATCCAAAATAACATTCCAAAAAGCAACTAGTGGTTTTGCCATTTTATATAAGAGAGCCTCCGGTGGCGCAGTGGGTTAAACTGCTGAGCTTCCGAACTTGCTGACTGAAAGGTCGCAGGTTCAAATCCAGGGAGCAGAGTGAGCTCCCGCCGTTAGCGCCGTTCTGCTAACCTAGTAGTTCGAAAACAAGCAAATGTGAGTAGATTAACAGGTACCAGTGGAAAGGTAACAGTGCTCCATGCAGTCATGCCAGCCATATGACCTTGGAGGTGTCTATGGACAATGCCGGCTCTTCGGCTTTGAAGCGGAGATGAGCACCAATCCCCAGAGTCGGACACAACTGGAATTAATATCAAGGGAAAACCTTCACCTTTACTTATGTAAGGAGCATCATTTCACTACACCATTGTATATAACAGAACTTGAGCATTCACGCAGCGTCCTGGAACCAAACTCCGGCAGATACCAAGGAAGCCCTGTATCTTGATTTGCAGTGAATATTTTTGTTAGCATTTATTTTGATTCTCAAATATTTTCATCTATTTACAGGTTAAACTTGGACCTGAATTAAACATCTAAAATACACACTGCATTTTGTTCCTGAAACTGTACCGTACCATATCATCCTGCAGAAAGCACTAATGTATTGGATCACTCACTCTAGAAGGCAAATAGTATATGCAAAATTTAGCTTAATATTTACTACGATAACTTTCATATACACAGAAAGTTTCTAACTCCTGAAATGTATTCAAACAGACACCTTAATGTAAAGTACCAAAAGAAAAATCCATATGCTTTCTCTGCACATTTGTTACGTGCACATTTGTTACGTGCACATAGTAACTTTGTTTAAGACCACACAGAAAGTTTCAAAGCTGGTCACCGATCTGGCTATTTCTAACTTGGCATTATTTATTTTCTCATAACACAGAGAGTTCTAATCCTCCAGAATTTTAGAAAAAGCAAAATATAGTCAAAAGCTTTATTTGCCTGGGTGCAGAAACATTTGCAGATGACTATCAATAAGGAATGCAAGATCATGCATAGTCTCTTTTTAAAGTGTTGCAATTCTGGTTTAGCAGGGGTAGATCATGAAACAGGAGAACAGTTAAGCACATTAACTGACACTACCTGTTTTCTGAGTTATGGAAGACATGGTTTAGGCAATGCTGAGAGTTGCAGTTTAACAAAACTCAGAAGACTGCTTGTTTCACACCCACTGTTTTAAGCACAAGCACAGTGCAGAGTAAATGAACTACATTTTATTATAATTTGGCTACTTAGAACATTTAGAGATCCAGCTCTCTATCTCATATGATGAGCAGATGGGCAGACTGGATATTAATAACTCAAGTTTTAATCCTTACATAGCCAGAAAAGTCAATGCTCAAGTGACTATCTCTCTTCTATAAACTGCATAGTGCATGACTTTCAAATGCCCTTCTTCTGTGCCCCCTCCCCCCCAAAAAAACCCCCCCAAAAGGCATTTTATTTGGGTGAAACTGTATTTTGTCCTAAACGGTGTTCTCATGATATCAGGATTTGCATTACCAAGGCACCAGGTGATCTGTACTTGTAGTTGTGTGTTATTAAAATTTTTGAAAATGATAAACTGATAAATAATAAAATAGTAATTGCCTGATTTCAGTTTACAAAAATAGACATAATCTATATACAAAGTCATCCAGTGTTACTCTGAATACAACTGTTTTTACACATTGTAGATACATAGAAACCCATTTGATAGGCTGGCATGGAAAAATGTAGCAAGTTGTAAATAAGCTAAGTCTCAGACAAATAACTCAACAACACTGCCCTCCATGGTTCATCAAATCACGGGGATAATTTGATTTGTTTACTAGTACAAAACACAATCAAACTGCATTAACAGGCCATACAGAATATTTTTGTGGAAACAGGGTTATTCGTTTTTGAAACTGTGTTTTGAAAGCCTCATATAATTCCATGAGTGTATGCTTAGTTGAAAAATGTAAGACTTCCTTCCAAATAAATATGTATAGAATTGCAGTCAGTGAGTGTTTTACCTTTGAACTTCAGGAGCTCTGGAGTCAACCAAACTGTCATAACTAATTTATGCTTTTATTGATTTTCTCTGCACAATGTGTGCACATCTGTGATTTAATTGTTGTGCAGGATCTAGATCCCTTTCCTGAAGCA